CCTCACCTATGGTCATGAGCTGTGGGTAATGACCGAAAGAACGAGATCGCGGATACAAGCGGTCGAAATGAGCTTCCTCCGCAGAGTGGCTGGGCGCTCCCTTAGAGATAGGGTGAGGAGCTCGGTCACACGGGAGGAGCTCGGAGTAGAGCCGCTGCTTCTCCACGTCGAGAGGAACCAGTTGAGGTGGCTCGGGCATCTGTTCAGGATGCCTCCTGGACGCCTTCCTGGGGAGGTGTTCCGGGCACGTCCCACCGGGAGGAGGCCCCGGGGAAGACCCAGGACACGCTGGAGAGACTATGTCTCTCAGCTGGCCTGGGAACGCCTAGGGGTCCCCCCGGACGAGCTGGAGGAGGTGTGTGTGGATAGGGAAGTCTGGGCGTCTCTGCTTAGACTGCTGCCCCCGCGACCCGGCAACGGATAAAGCGGAAGAAAATGGATGGATGGATGTATTGTGTATATCACACATGAAGATAATATTTGATACTGAAACTTGAAAGATGGAGCGTGAGATTGACAGGCTGCGTGCGCAGTGATGCGGTCGCTGTATCAGACTGTCCAAATGAAGAGGGAGCTGAGCCGAAAGGCAAAGCTCTCGATTTACAGGTCAATCTTCGTTCCCTCCCTCACCTATGGTCATGAGCTTTGGGTAATGACCGAAAGAACAAGTTTGAGGATACAAACTGTCGAAATGAGCTTCCTCCGCAGAGTGACTGGGCGCTCCCTTAGAGATAGGGTGAGGAGCCCTGAGGACGACCCGGCAACGGATGAAGCAGAAGAAAATGGATGGATGGATAAAAACAGTCAAAAGCAATGTAATAAAATACACGGCATAAAAGTCTTCTTATTTACGTGGGAATTGTTTCAAGACGCATTTTTTCTATGATAAAGTTGATTCCAGAAACTATCAAAATACAATCAATATGGATGGAAGGGGAAAATTAGCATAGCAATGTTTGCTATGGTAATGTTTGCTAATCCATGGTTGCCATGCAAATCACTATAGCAACTGTCCTGGCAACCATCCTAATGGTTTCCGGTTGTAATAGTGCCCAATGGTTGTCATAGCAACGGTTGCCATAGTGATCATTACTATAATGACCAATGTCATAGTGAAGGTTGCCATAGTGACTTTTGCATAGCTACGGTTGCCATGGTGATCATTGCCATAGCAACGGTTGCTATGGTTATGGTTGCCATGGTGACCATTGTCATAGCAACGGTTACCATTGCAGCCGTTGCTATGGAAATCACTATTGCAACTGCGGCAAGGCAAGGCAAGGCAAGTTTATTTATATAGCACAATTCATACACAAGGCAATTCAAAGTGCTGAACAAAACAAGAAAGCATTAAAATCATAAATTATCACAGAACATTAAAAAGAAAGATAAAAATATAAAATCCCTCAGTTGTATGCACAGTTAAACAGAACTGTCTTTAACCTGGTTTTAAACATTGTCAGAGAGGAGGCCTGTCTCACATCTTCTGGAAGACTGTTCCAGATTTTAGCAGCATGAATCTGAAAAGCAGCCTCCCCATGTTTAGTTCTGACTCTGGGCACTAACAGGAGTCCAGTCCCTGTGCTCCTCAGAGTCCGGGCTGGTTCATATGGGACTAACATGTCACTAATATATTTTGGTGCGAGGCTATGGAGAGACTTGTACACAAGCAGAACTGTTTTAAAGTCTATTCTCTGAGCCACAGGAAGCCAGTGCAGAGACCTGAGAACTGGACTAATGTGGTCGTACTTTCTGGTTCTAGTCAGGACTCGAGCTACTGCATTTTGAATGTACTGCAGCTGTTTTACAGCCCGTTTGGACAGACCTGTGAGCAGGCCATGGCAGTAGTCTAACCTACTGGAGACAAATGCATGGATAAGAATCTCCAGGTTGCTTTAGACACTATGTTTTTGATCCTGGCAATGTTTTTTAGATGGTAAAAAGCTGCTGATGTTACTGATTTGATGTGGCTATTAAAATTTAAGTCTGAGTCCAGTATTACCCCTAGATTTCTGACCTTGTTTGAAGGTTTTAGGGAGAGAGACTGCAGGTGACAGATGACGCTCTCTTTGTTTCTGGGGACCAAAGACAATCATTTCAGTTTTGTCCGCGTTTAGCTGAAGGAAGTTGTTTTGCATCCACTCACTGATCTGTTGGATACAGTGAAGGAGTGAGTCCACTGGTCCATGTTCTCCTGCAGTCAGTGAGACATAGATCTGAGTGTCGTCTGCATAGTTATGATAGGAAACTTTGTTTCTGCGTATTAACTGACCTAACGGCAGCATGTAGAGATTGAACAGAAGAGGTCCCAGGATCGACCCCTGTGGGACTCCACAGGTCAGGGCCATATGATCTGAGACACAGTTTCCAATCTCCACAAAGTACTTCCTGTCTTCAAGGTAAGACCCAAACCAACTTAGGGCGGTGCCAGTGACGCCAACCCAGTCCTCTAGTCTCTGTAAGAGGATCTCATGGTCTACGGTGTCAAAGGAAGCACTTAGATCTAACAAGATTAAGATTGAGACTTTGCCTGCGTCAGTGTTCAGCCGGATATCGTTTGTAACCTTAACGAGAGCAGTCTCAGTGCTGTGGTGGGGTCTAAAGCCGGACTGAAACATATCAAATGAGTTGTTGAATATAAGAAATCTAGTAAGCTGTAGGTAGACAACTTTCTCATGGACTTTCCCCATAAATGGCAGATTTGAGATGGGACGATAGTTGTTAAGTACCGTAGCATCCAGACTGCTCTTTTTTAGCAGGGGCCTGATGACTGCAGTTTTCAGGGCCTTTGGGAATATTCCAGAATGAAGGGACATGTTTACTATCTGTATGAGTGAAGGTAACAGACTGCTCAGAACAGACTTCAGAAATCTAGTGGGTAGTACATCCAAGCTGCATGTGGAGGAACTCAAACTGGAGATTATCTCTTGGACAGTTTTATCATTTACAGGTGCAAATGATAAAACTGGCAACCATCACTGTTGCCGGTTGTAATAGTTCAGTTCATAATCAGGTTACCATTACTATAGTCGTTGTTCCCATAGTGATGATTGACATAGCGATAATTGCATAGCTACGGTCTCCATTGTGACCAATGCCATACTGATTGTTTCCATGATGGTTGCCATGGTGACCATTGTCATAGCAACGGTTGCTCTGGTTATGGTTGCTAAGCAGCAGTTATCATGGTGACCATTAACATAACAATGGTTCCCATGGTGATAACTGCCACAGCAACAGTTGCTATAGTAACGGTTAGTATAGCAATGGTTGGTATGGTGACCATTGCCAGAGCAACCGTTGCTATGGAAATCACTATAGCAACTATCCTGGAAACCATCACAATGGTTTCTGGTTGAAATAGTGGCCAACGGTTGCCATAGCAACAGTTGTCATGGTTACCATTACCATAGTGATGGTTGACTATTGCAAATCAATGGTTGCCATGGTGTCCTTTGCCATATCAGCCGTTACCATTGCGCCCATTGCTATGGAAATCACTATTGCGACTATCCTGGAAACCATCACGACGCAGTTGCAGTAGAGGCCCCACTGCTCAAGGTGTCTTCTTCAACTGGCTCTGGGACACTGGTCCACTGACATCACAGTCTGCCAGGGGGAAAAGGCACTGAAGAACATCTTGCAGATCCAATGCCACTGGCACCTGTCTCTGGTCTAATTGCTTGTTTGCATATGCGAGTCATTGTGGGATTGGGAAGTCAGATGGTGGGTTGTGGCAAATAATTGATGACAATATGCAGTTGGTGCTGTTAGTGTTGCATTTCTTCATGACGTGTGGTTCTACAACAGAAATAATAACATCATATTAGATCCATTGTAGCCATCATCTACCTCCACTCTCTCTGCTCTCTACTAGGGATGCGAAGATTCTGTGTATCGTTAATGTATCGAATCGCTGGTAGTGTATCGAGATGTATCGAATCGGCCTCAGTGGTGGAGCTATACACCCCTACTCTCTACAGATCCTCTGCAGTATTCAACCCAGCACTCGTCACATGGACCCCACTCCTGAAAGCTTTCTCCCTGACCCACTCATCACAACCATCATGAACTCCATTCTCACCCCTGAAATTGTCCCTCCTTATGTTATAAAAATTAAAATGAAAGCGCTAGAAAAAACAACAAACTCTGTGTCTTTATGACGCCTGACGCACAAAGCTCACCGTTGGTCCCAGGCCTTCAGAAGGTCTCTTCACTTGGGACGAGTTCAGTCGTGGCAGAGATGAAGAAGGCCACTTATCCAACACTGGTCTCGGGTTCCTGTATTGAAAACAAATTAATTCAGCTCATTACATGCTCATTTGAGTCTGGCACATATTGTGCAAATCAACATCAAGTCTCCTTTAAAGATGTGCAATGAACCGTCAGGCTTCGAACGTCACCAACACACACCTCGACTCACGATCTCCTAGATTACTCTGTACACGCTTTGAAGGCGCGGCACGCTCAGCAGATCACTAGTCCTGGTTTAGACCTGGTCCAGTCCTGGTTTAGAGTTGGTTTGGTCCTTGTTTGGACCTGGTTTAGATCGATAGACAGATACTTCATTGATCCCCGTAGGAGAAATTCAAAATAGATCATTCTAGAAATCCGTGGGGCGACAGTAGCTCAGTTGGTAGAGCACTGGTCTGTGGACCTAATGGTCATGGGTATGTCACCTGCTCCCACTGGTGTCTGCTGTTGTTGTGTCCCTGGGCAAGACCCCACATTGCCTGTAGCCCCCGCTGAAAGACCAAGGCCACCTCGTTGATGACAGAGAAGCCATCATCCCGTGGACCCACCACCTGCAGAAGGATCAGAGGAACTGGTGCTATGAGACTTGGGTGGCAGCTCTGACTGCCACCCCCCTGTTGTGGCAAGTTTCATATATTAGAATATATTGTACTAAAATTCACTGATACATTTGCAGACAAAGGCCGCCTGTCTTGTACAAAGAGGCCTTCACTTGCACATGACCTTCGCAGTCTCCCCTGGAGGCGATGGTACCAGGTACCACTCCTTTGCTCGTAATAATGTTTAATGTTTGACAGGTGTACTATCATTCTTTTCCCCTCCCTATCTTCTACCTCGTCTTCCTGCATAACTCAACCCACCTTACCCCCACTGTGGCATGTATTGTTCTTTGTTGTGACTTGGGCAGGGCTATATTACCGAATGTTAGATGTGATCAGAGCAGAGAGAGACAGCGCAGAGCTTGGGAGTATGTTGCGCCGCTTCTGTCTGACTCTGCAGAGTTTTAATTGTATTTGTTATTCTCATCACCTTTTAAATAAATTGCACAAAGACAAGCTGTTTTCTCTCGGATTCATTCATTGAAGTATTTAAATTTCCACTACACCCCCGACCCAGAAATTGATTGATAAAGGGGAAGACAATGACATGACATTCTGAAAAGCTAACAATAGTAATACTCAGCAACAGCCCTTCAGGTCACAGCAGCAGAGATAGAGTAGTCTCCAGTCCGGGTCCAGTCCAGGTCCAGACCTGGTCTAGTCCTGGATCAACAATGCGATAAAGTAAGTAACTTTCTATCTAAACTTGTATCAACAACTCATAACTGAAAGTGAACCTTTCAGTCATGTGCAGGTGTGGAGCAGCAGGAGCAGCAGCAGGAGCAGCAGCAGGAGCAGCAGCAGGAGCAGCAGCAGGAGCAGCAGCAGGAGCAGCAGCAGGAGCAGCAGCAGCAGGAGCAGCAGCAGCAGGAGCAGCAGCAGGAGCAGGAGCAGCAGCAGGAGCAGCAGCAGGAGCAGCAGGAGCAGGAGCAGCAGCAGGAGCAGTTTTCAGCGGAAATCCTGGAAGTGGTTCGACACAAACGGTGAGTGAAGCTTCAGTCTCTTAAGTCTTCTTTCGTGTCCAGTCTCTGGTCCTTCCCTGTCTGCTGTTTCTCAGCTGCAGTTGATTAAGTGCCCTCCCCTTTCTGTTGTTTGGCCCACAGCAGCCAATCAGGAGCCATTGGGGGAGGGGCAGCTTTAGAAATGACACATGACACAATGCTGTCCCACAAGGTTATGATAACCAGAATGAGACTGGGTCATTGTGGGCTTGCTCAAAGCCTGTATCGGATCGGAAAGCACAGAGATGGCCTGTGTGAAGAGTGCAGTGAGCAAGAGACAGTGAAACATGTTCTCTTACAATTGTTAGGATTCAACAGACAGAGACGGATCGTGGTGTGCCAAACTCTGGAAGTTTATTTAAGTTTCTCTCAAGTTCCACTGGTTTACTCTGTTTCTTTCTCTCAGACAGAATAAAGGCAGTACACAGTTTATATAGTCATTGTCACGTCACACATGGAAAGACATACGTGTCACAAAGAGACAGTCACATCATAGTCATAACATGGAGTCCTTGTAGAGTCCTTGTAGAGTCCTGCACGTAGGCCATATTGCTATCTAATACTAATACCCTCCCCTTTGATCACATAATCACATGTGATCACTCAATTTGATCAATCAATAAAATGGAAAAAGAAAAAAAAACAACAACAAACAAACAAAAACAAATCAAAAATAAAAACAAACAAACACTATTGGACACAGTAGAACTCAGCAGATTCAGTCAAAACACAGACAAAAAACGAGCTGAGTCTCAAATTAGAAGCTAATTTCACTTTAATTACTCTATACTTTTATTCCAATGATAATTGTTCTTCACTTCACTGTATTTTCACTGTATTATTTTCACTTTTCAATCTTAGACTGTGTATTTTACTCTCTATTCACTATAGTTTAAACTATTCTAATCTATTTACAAATATGTTTGCATATTTGCTTCTATTGAGCCATATTCTTAAACATACATTTTAATCTAATAAATCTCTCTTTAGTTTTACACTCTCATTATCAGTGGCATATTATCAGTGGGATTTTGCTCCATGTCTATTCTCATTCTCAGGAATAAAACTGTGAACACAGTAAGGCAAATGGTCAACATTTACACTTCTATAGTGGTCAGTGATTTATTACTTTTTATTATCTAAAGATATTATTGTCAGGCAGTTTGGGATGAATGTACATCATTAATCAAATTAGTATTATCCTTACAAGAGCTAATCTATTTTAGCAGGTTTGGGGTTGGGGTCAGTTATTCTACAATGGTATTTGTGCTGGAAACTTCTCAATATCTAAATATCTACTATTGTGTTTTTGTGCTATACACAAATACATCAAAATGCTTTTAAATGCAACATTCACTCATGTTTGAACACAAGTGAATTTGGAAGGTATCTAATAAAACTGTACATACAACTGTAATTAACTTTATCTACTTTTGAAGTAAATGTTTGTGAAATGGTCCCTTTACCATTTGATATTAGCACTGGCTACAAATAATCTCTATTTTTGAAAGCATCTATGGTTGATGTCTCTATTTCTACACTATTGTGGCTCTAAAGCTTGGTTGCAGCTTGAGTCAAGGCATATTTCTAATCTGTGACTTCTGTCACTTTTAATGGCTGTAACATAACTCTGATTCTAATATTATATCTGCTCTATCAGAAGGATAACATTGTAGGGTACTATTTTAACTCTTATGTGGAAATGTGTTTATGAAAAACAAAGGAAGTCAAATTCTACTCTTTTACTACTATTTAACATCTACTAAAACGCTACAATACTCATACTTTATCATTTTCAAAGTTTTTGTCTGTCAGATGTCTGAATACTTAACATGTATATTGCATTTGGTCACAGGTTCTGGTTGTAGCAATAGCATCGGCAATAGACGTTTTCATTGGCTGGTTCTTGTTCTGCAAATGGCTGTGTCCAATAGATCATCAGATGTCCAGAAGCTAGGGACAAACAAAAACAAAAGAAAGAATCATGAGTATCTGTCTCATTTAGCACTCATCTATGTATGATTTCAAAAATATAAACATCACTCCCCAGTTTTCTCTCTCAGGTCCTCAGGTCCTCAGGGTCCCCTGAGGGTGAGTCTCAGTCGTCATCAGGTCAGGTCATAGAGAGATGTCATCTTGGTCATCAGTAGGGTCCAAGCCAGGGTATCAGGTCTCTCCAGGTTCATTCTGGTCACTCCAGGTACATCTGGTCAATGGTGGCGCAGTCTCGCAGTTCCTGCTTGCTTGTTATGCAGTAGTTACTCTCTATGGTTAAGTCACTTTGATTCTACTTTAACACAATTTCTATTCATGCTGTTGGTAATGTCCCTCAGACAAAAAGCAAGCGCAATGATTCAGTTTACTTCTCTAATTTGTGTTTTTATCAGATCTAATTCTAATCAATGTAATTACTTCACACAGTACAAAATCAACAAACCAAAAGTGTCAGGACAGACGTCAATTAATCCATGACAATATAGAATTCAAATGAACATTTCTGGTCTCAAAAAATACTGATTCAACTAAAGATTCAAGTGATAGACAATTAAAAATATGTGTTTACATTGGAGTAAACTTTTAAAATTCTTTTTCTCATGTTCTGCTTTTTCATGTATCTATATGTAAATGTGAATGTGTGAGTGTATGTGTGTGTATGTGTGTGTGTGTGTGTGTATGTGGAGTGTGAATTTTGGGGTTGTCTCTCCAGACTCCTCAAACCACCTGTAGGTGTCAAAGGTCACACTGTGGTGATGCAAACCAACTGGACACACTTTCAACTCTCCTCCAGGTCTCTACCTGATGCTCCACCCATCACGTCTCCAGATACCTCTCTTTCATGGCCCCGGTCTCTCTCACACCCACTCAGTTCTGCAGTGGCGTGGGGAGGGGCAAGGAGGTGGCATTTCCCTTTGCTCTTAGCTCTGTGACCTGTGGCTGGGTGGGCGTTGCGCTGTCCAGTGTCCAGCAGTGACCCCTCGTACAGTGAGGCAGAGTCTGAAAAACAATCCTTGAGACGGCCAATTTAAAAAAACAATAGATATCAGTATGCGAATGAGATTGTTTTTCTCTCTAAGTCTAAACAATTTTTGAGCGCTCTGGGTTTTCCCAAGCGCTATGTAAATAAAAGATTACTTATTATCTTACTAATGATGACATTTTAAGACCAGAAACTCTCAATATAAAAAACAAGACTCAAATCTCTTAAACTTTTTAAACTTTAAAATATGTATTATGTACTTTTGCACTGTGTGATTAATTATCTATGCGTCCTTGGGTTTCTTGAAAGACTCCATGAAATGAAATTATTTTGGAAAACATTAAAACATAACCTGAAATCAAACAAAAGATTTAGCTCCAGCTAAACTGGATTTGGTTCATAAAACTCAATTGTGCGTCGGAGCTGCCTCCTCCTGTCGCTGGGCAGCAGGAGCAGCAGGAGCAAGGTCACGCGTGTAGTCAAAACAAAAACATCACCGCTTGCAATGGGTGAATTGGGTAGTTTAACTTAATAATACTTTTACAGCTAATCCTAATTCCCTCTTTTCTTTTTTACACAAACTCTATAAATCAATCATTCTAATCACTTTTAACACGGATTCTAATTTAAATGTTTGAAAAACGGCTTTTGTAACTAAAATAAAAACATACAAAAATTCTCACAAACAGCTATGAAATATATCAGAGATACAATAATGGACTCACAAAATAAGCAGCAGATTTAAAAGAATGGAATCTAGAAATATGTTAGGTCTAAAAAGAATTGCACAGCTTTAGCACTAATCTTTGGGTTTCAAAAACATACTAATTCAAAACTTATTCACTAATGGTGTTTAAAAACGTTTAACTGTGTCATAACACAATGTTCAATGGCAAATTTCGCAAATTTAACGGAATAAAAACTATGAAAAGCCAAATTCCTAAAAGCAGTAGCTCCCCTTTAAATCAGAGCAGCAGCAGCAGCAGCAGGAGGGCGGGGGGGGTTCCTTTCACACAGACACGCACACACACAGGCAGAAAGTAGTGTTTTAGCAAGAAATGCTAAAACAGAAAGAAGAATAACTTTCAAGATTACTTTGTTAAGCAAATATAACTTGTAGTTTATACTTTTGTCATCCAAGTCTAGAAATGATCACTTTCCACACTTGTAACAAAAGGCACTCTTGTCTTTAACGTTTACGCTTCTATTTTATTGAGGTAGCAAACTAATTTAAACTCAAAATCTCTTTCTAAAAAACAAAAACAACTGTTGGATACAGCCCTCTCATAGCTCAACTGTAGATAAAACTCGGCAAAAAAATGTAAATAACTCACGAAAGCTCTCATAGCTCAACTTTAGATAAAACTCTGCATTCTCCGGTGAACTCTGTTCACGCCGAAAACAAAAACTCCTTTTTCTGTATGTAATTTAAACCGTGATCACTGAAATATTGTTGATTCTTTACTTTTGTCATTTATCAAGCCTGGAATTGGTTAATTACAAAACTTTTTGTGACAAAAGGCCTCCTTAACACGTTTCCCTTTTTATTGCTTTTATGTTTACACCATGGTTTCACTAACTATTCTCTATTCTCTATTCTCTGCCCCGGCTACTCCAAAGGCAGGGACCCCGATACGTCAGGGGTTCCTTTTTCTCTCTGCCCTGACTACTTCAAAGGCAGGGACCCCGATACGTCAGGGGTTCCTTTTTCTCTCTGTCCTGACTACTTCAAAGGACAGGGACCCCGATACGTCAGGGGTTCCTTTTTCTCTGTCCTGACTACTTCAAAGGACAGGGACCCCGATACGTCAGGGGTTCCTTTTTCTCTCTGTCCTGACTACTTCAAAGGACAGGGACCCCGATACGTCAGGGGTTCCTTTTTCCTATAGGGACTGGTTACCCACACAGCTAACCTGTTTTCTACAACATAAGACATGACAAAGACGTGACAAAGACATAACAAAGAAAATTTGATTTAGAGAGATTTGGACAGACCTCCGGGACAGCTC